ACGTCTGGGAATGTACCACGTCCACGGTCCTACTCTGGAAACGATGATGCATACAATGGACTTCGGACTATGTGCGTTCCTCTAAGTCTTCCGACCAATATGACCGAGTTGCGAAAACAAGGTCAAACAACTTCTGTCACTCTTTGAGCTGGTCAGGCTGTTGTCCCTCGAGCCTGGCATCTCGGACAGCCTTCGATACGACATGAGACAAGCGGGCCTGCCTTGGCAACCGAGGCTAGCCGGTGTCAACGACCGGAGTGAAGTCACTGCGGTTAAACTAGCAGACGAGTCGAGCAAGAAGAAGTGTATACAGCGCATAGAATGTAGTTATGTGAATAAAAAAAATTGGAAGCATCATGAATTAAATCGGGTACAGGTGAGAAATGTTGTCAAATGTGATGACTTTGAAAGCACCACTGAAGCAGCACAGAATGGTGGACAAAATGACCGCAGAAAGCGTTTGAAAAGTAAAATGAGCCTGGAAGAAATCAGTGAAATTACGTACAAAGTCTCAGGGGGGTTCAAGGTAAAACGGAATAAAAACTGTGCGACAATTTCTCGCAACTTGTCACTCGTTCGTGCATTCAAATGGAAAAGCATCCACTTTGGCTCTGAAATGCGGAGATAGCAACAGGAGGAAGAAGGGAAGGACAACGGGCCGGATGGTATTCCTACTCTGCCGTCGGCGCACACTCAGGCTTCCCATTCTCCATCGCCATGACGAGCTCGACTGTGAAAATGAGGGAAAAAGGACGGATCATGTAGTGACGACGCTCGAGGTGGGTGTGGTGTGTGCATTCGCTTGCACCAACGCCTCGGTGCACAAACTACTTGTGAGTAGTATGAGTACAATTTCAGTTTGAGTAATAAATGGTAAATGATAACAAATGGTAAAGAGACGCCAGGCGTAGGCAGCTTACCGGTTTTTGCTGGCACAACTTGGTCAGAATAGTGGTTTTGTAGGCAGGCGTCAGCTTCACTCGGTTGATGCTCAGCTGAGCCAGTCTCGGTCTTGACGAGGTCTGCTTCTGTGCTCGCCGGAGGGCAGACGACCAGCGAAACCAGCGGTTCTGCGACAGCCACAGCCACAGCCGCAGGCACAGCCAAGCCGGCCGGATCGGTGTTGGGGCTGTGCGCCTCGACCGGTGGCAAAGAGGACTGTAGTCCCAGCTCAGGCTCAGATGCAGGCTGGGGCCCGGGAAGGGGCTCGGACTCCGGTTTGCCGTTGGCCGGCGGAGAAGCAGGAGCAACGACCTCCGAGGTCGGAGTGCTGACTGGCGTCTGTAGAAATGGGCATCGAGGAAAGAGAAAAGGGAAAGGAGGAAAGAGGAATGATGAATAAAGAAGGAGGAAGGAGGAAATGGGAAGGATGAAAGATGAAAGATGAAAGAGGAAAGAGGAAAAAGAAAAGAGAAAAGAGAAAAGAGAAAGTAGGAAAGAGGAAGGAGGAAAGAGGAAGGAAGAAAGATGGAAGATGAAAAAGGAAAGAGAAAAGATGAAAGATGAAAGGGGAAAGGGGAAAGAGAAAAGATAGAAGATGAAAGAGGAAAGAGAAAAGATGAAAGATGAAAGAGGAAAGAGGAAAGATGGACGATGAAAGAGGAAAGATGAAAGATGAAAGAGGAAGGAGGAAAGAGGAAAGAGGAAAGAGGAAAGAGGAAGGAGGAAAGATGGAAGAGGAAAGAGGAAGGATGAAAGATGAAATGGA